CTGAACTCTTTACAAATTGTGTTTCACTAGAGTTTTTACATACTTCAACGTAATACAACTTCGACTCGCAGCACTCGTTACAATTTGCTATCGCTCGATGTGCACTCGCTCCAAGTGGTGATCATTCGGATTGCACTCCGTTTCGATAAAGCTATATCGTTACTTCCCCGCACTACATCGTTCCATTCCCATTTCCGTTCACTCTCTCATACGTAACGCGAAAAAATTTCAACTAAATCTTATATGAATAAATTTGTATATAGCTATGCAAGTATGTAGGTAAGTATGTATGAATGTATATATGCAGCATATGTTTATGAGTAGTCGCTATATATATAGTATATATGCCTATATGTATATTAATGCTAAACAAATTTGACTTGATCTTGAGGATTTACTTATATGAGGTTTAGTCGTATTTTGTCTGTGCTTAAATATAGTTTAGTTAAAGCCACATCGATTAATATTTAAGAGTATCTCATCATTCTATTTCTGCTAGGCATATAGCTATTGCAAAAAGTATGCCTGGTGTTTGCTTTGCTCTCCACTCATTCTCACCCTATGTACAAGCGATTCGTTTTGTAGAACTATGTATTGTAGTTGGAGTATTATAGGCTATCTTTCGGTTTCGTTTTGTGTATATTTATATATTTATAAACATATATATTTATATATATAATAATAATTTTGAGAGTTCTTGGCTCGCAGTCTTTTCGGGCTATAATTATTTAATATTTTCAACTTGCACCATTTTGCAATCAGTTGGGATCTCTGACATTCTAAATGATTATCAAGGAAATACTCTTTTAATTGTCCTGGTATTTGTCTAGTTACGATTAATAGTTAGTTCACTTACATTCTACGTCTAGCACACCATCCTATATAGAATTTACTTTTATCTAATTCTTTAGTTTATTTTTTTTTTAGGGATTGCTTATCAATTTTCGTAATTTTGCTATCGATTTAGTCGATTTTATTTTATTTAATTTTACTTAACTAACAGTTAAATTTCCTATGCAGCATTTATCAAGCTGAGAACACGTTTTGTTGTTGCTGTTGTTATTGTTTTGATTGATTTTTTTTGTTTTTCAATTTCTCTATCGTTGACAGTTTCGGCCTGGGAGGTAGTTACGGTTCTTTGACGGCCGTATACGCGAGGTAGCTTCGGTTTAGTTGTGACATGGGAAAACATTTGAGTTTCCACATTTTTCTAGCTGCTATAAAAAGCTTTTTGTAAATAAATCATGAATGAACTTAAACCAAATGAAAATAAAAATAATTTTATTCTGTGCACAAAAGTAGGCAACAGTATATTACAGACAACATAGCTAAGTGCCATACGCCCACACACACACACGCGCATACAATGCAAATTTGGTAACAGCCGGGCCAAAATATGTTGCAGCAGTCGTTGACGTTGACAGGAAGAGGACAGCTAAAACAAAGAGACAACAGCGAGGGCCAGCTGCAGGCGTGGGAGTACAAAGTGGGCCTACGAAATGAGCGCTGCTCGTGTTGGCCATAAAACCAGGGCCATGTTAGGCTAAAAGCGTCAGCGGGAGAGCAAATATAGGGAAACAGCTAAACTCTGAGAGAGTGATATAGAGTGCGTGAGTGAGAGAGAGCGAACTGAGTCAGAAAGCCACAGTCAAAGTGAGAGCACATCAGCTGTGCTTTGCGCTCGGGCCAAAGAACAAAAGTGAAAGTGGAAGTGAAAGTGAATGTGAAAAGGCGCAAAGGACAGGCAAAAAGCGGAAGCAAAGTAAAAGGACTAGGGCCTAAACTGCCGTTAAAAGATAGACACAAATAGGCACAGTGGGCAAAGGCCTATTGGCCCTGGCACCAGGAGGTGTAAAATCAATACGCAGGCATCTGCTGGCGCCTTGCTGCCCCCCCAGCCAATAAAATATGTTAATTTTTCGAATATGTAATCGAAACTCAATGGGAACAGGTAGGTAGGTGTCAATGGCCACGCCCACAACTTAGACTTGGGGGCACAAACACGCGCCGTCATTTTTTTTTTTTTTACTTCAAACTGAAGTATGTAGTAGGCGTGTACACTGCGTAAAGGCATTGAGACTTGAGTCTAGAAGAGTCTTAGACAAGTCTAAACAGAGTATTCACAAGTCGTTTCTATTCGCTGGAGCTGCTTTTATTTTCTTTTGTATCGAAATTGAAATAATACGCAGTTCGGTTCAGCTCAATAAAGACTTTGCGTGTAAACTGTTGTCGTCTAGGATATTTATGATTACAATTTGAAGGCTGCCGCGGCTTTGGTTGGGCTTGTTATCAATACACACCCACACACACACACACACATACACTCGCACACTCACTCAAATGTTGGGCTGGCACGCGACACATACGGAAAAGAAAGCTTAATTAAAGTCACAATGAATAATATGTTGGGCACGCACCGCGCACCACACAATGAGCCACCGAACCACTCCAGAGCCAAGTGGGTCAGCGTGTGGTCAGTATTTATGAAAAATCAATAAAGCCTTTTAAATCAACACTTTAAAAAGCCAAAATAAATGAAAGACAATTAACGAAACCGAAAATAAAATAAACAAAAGAATCAAATTGCTGTTTTTCGGTTTTCTTTTTTTGTTTTTTGTTTTTTTTTACTTTTAATCTAAAAAGTGTCTTAAAACTTAAAGAAATAATTAAATTAGATGCGTGAAATTGTGCTATGTCTTTGTTTGGTTTATTTGTTGAGACTAGACCATGTTGTAATGCGCGAGAGTTAAATGATATAACCAAATGGCAAGGCTAGCGCTAAGAATTCTCTCTTTGAATTCAAATCTTTTGGCAATGATTTTCTGGTCTCCAAAACATGATCTAGGCTCAAAATGTACTGACCAAAAACTCAAACTCCGTATAAAGAGTTAGCCGTATTCCCGATTTCGATTTCTTTCTTTCAAAAATTTTCTAAACTTTAAAAATTAAACCAGTCAATTTTTCCTTTTTTTTTTTTTTTTTGCACTGAAAATTTTGCTATATATCTGATATTTGGTGTTTTCTGAACGAAATGGAAACTTGGAACATAACTCTAGTGGATTGCTTTGCTGAGCTACGCTGCACTAGGAAATGGCTTAAGACTCTAAATTTCCTTCATATTTAATTGCTAATAGTTTTCTTTGCTCTAGATGCTTAGTTGGAGGGGTATATGTTTAGTTAGGAGCTATAACTAGATAAATCTGCCTACAGCCTGATTTTTCTTTTTCGATTATTAATTTAATTAATTTAAGCTAGTTAATTTAATAGTTTTAATTTAGTTTTAGTTAATTCTTGTTTTTCTTTGTACCATCCAGCGCTCGAATTTCAATTCATTTTACTACATCATTTTCACAATGTTTACAATTTACAGGGTATATGCCACTCGTAGCACTTTACTTGCGTTTTCTTATACTCGTTACTTTAGAACATAAAGTGATTTGAAGTAAAAAACTGAATTCGAATCAAAACGCTGACGACATAAACTTTCCCAATTTTCCTTGAGTTTTCTTCATTATTTTTAACAGTTATTTTTCGCTCTATTTAAAGCTGGCGCTGGCTCTGCTTCTGCAGCCTCTCAGTCAAAAAATGCTTACACATTTAACAAATTTCAAATCGAAATATTATTTAATAATATTTAAAAAAAAATAAAAAGCAGAACAAAAAATAACAAACGCAATATGGCTATCACAGTAAACAAATGATGGGACTAAGAGAAAAAACAAAACAAAATCAATTTAATTTATGCCATATATCTTTTTTTATATATATTTTTTTTAAATTGCAAATATTGAGTTTTTTTTCAAAATTTTTGCTATTTGTTGGTGTTGTGATGCTGCTGGTAGTCACTGTAGCCCAAAACGCTTCGACTTATGCAAAAACTAGGCGCTAGCTTTATTATTATGTATATGTAAATGTAAATGTGTGTCTGTGTGTGTATATGTGTATGTACAATAAAAATATATATAGCATATATCTAATATGCTCAACAAAATATATATAACAACATGGCCTTAAAATGAAATCAACAAATAAAGCAAATTAAAGTGAAAGGGGTATCTAAATAAAATCGGGCAAATATATATATGCATAAGCATGTATATAAAAATATATATATGGAGGGGATATTAAAACTGAAGCTTATCAATTAGTTCAATGATGCATTAAAAATGACTATTTTAAATAGTCTACTAAAATGTATATACATACACACACATACATATGTATATATGTATATATATATAAATTTAAA